TGTCATGTGCTAATTTCCAATCAAATGAATGGACAAGAGAAGCCAACATTAGGTGCAGCATTCTGTGTCCCAATGGCAATCCAGGGCAAATCCTCCGTCCAGCTCCAAATGGGATTAACTCAAAGTCTCTCCCTTTCACATCAATTTTGTTATCTAAAAATCTCTCTGGCTCAAACCTATCTGGGTTTGGCCATATGCTTTCATCTCTTCCCATAGCCCATACATTGACTAGTACTTGTGCATTTTTGGGCACCTTGAACCCATTTATCTCCACCTCACTTTCAGCTTTACGAGGCACTAGAAATGGCAATGGTGGATGCAATCTAAATGTCTCTTTTATTGTTGCTTGTAAATAAGGGAACTTGATAATGTCACTTTCTTCAATTACGCCTTCAACTTGTTTGACCTCATGTTTTAACTTTAAAAGTTTTTCAGGATTCTTCAGTAATTCTGCCATTGCCCATTCTAATGTCCTTGCTGTTGTGTCCGTGCCAGCAACAAAAAAATCCTGAATGTAACAAATTTTGTCAATCGAAAGTCAATTTCTCTTATCAACTCTTAAAAACGGACAAATGTCTTGGGTGCTTGAAAATGTATCTCAATAACACATGGAAAAAAGTATAGCCTTTGAAAATGTGTTTCAATAGCACACAATATATTTTTTATTATTGTTTAAAAATTTAAAAATTTTCTTATTTTTTATCAAGGGAATATAAATTGATTATACACTCAAAAGTTATATCTTAAATTGATCTAAAAATTAATTTTAAATCAAATTAAACATTTATGGAAAATTTTTGGAGTAAATTATATATTATTCTTATTAGAAATACTTATTAAATCTAGCAGTAAAGGGAAAAAATCATGACTGTCATAATAGTCACTAGCTCCTACTATACTACCAATTAACTAATTAATGGCACTGTTAATTTTTTTTAATTTAGTGATAAAATGATATTATTTAGGGAAAGCATCTTATATTATAATTAAAGAGGATTAGATTATCCATAAACTTTTTTTAAAAAAAGAACAAATTATCCATAATACATAGGAAAGAAATAAATTACTCACCAAAAGCATATGCCTTACATCTTCAAGTCTTAATCCAGAATTACTTTCTTTGACAAGCATGAGAAGAGAATCAAGTACATCATAGTTTGCCTCTACCTCTGCCTCAGCCTCAGCCTCAGCCTCAGCCTCAGCCTCAGCTGTTCCGGATGAAGAAGAAGCACTTAATTGCATTCGCTTATTGATAATCCCATCAAAATTCTGAAGTAACCTTTCCAAATAAATCTTCATTCGTCTTCGAACACCTTGTGGATCTACTAAACTCAGTATCGGAAAATAATCTGCAATGTTAGGACTTCCAGTTTGGTCCATGATATCTATAACAAGCTTATTGAACTCTTGAGAGCTCTCAGAACTATAATCAGCCAAATCAATAGACAAGAAAGTGTTTGAAACCAAGTTAAGCACTGTGGTGAAAGCTGCTTGACCGACATCAATCATTTGGTTAATTTTGCAATTTTCATCAACATAGTTTAGAAGCTCTTGCACCTTTTCTCGACGAAGATCGCGGCGAGCATCGAGCCTTTGAGAAGTGAATAATTGCGTAGCACTAATCTTCCTAAGGTTTCTCCAGTGATCTATTGCTGGCAACCATATTGTTGAATTCTTGTTGTGGTTATGTGCACAAAGGCAATTTGGAACCATACGGCTAGATAAGGCTTGGTCATGTTTCTGTAACGCTTCTTTAGCAATATTTGGAGAGGATATGACTATGGTTGTAATGTTGCCTAACTTAAGAGTCATCAGAGGTCCATAGGTTTTTGAGAGTTTAGCAAGTACTTCATGCGGCTTTTCTCCGAGATTGAATATGTTTCCGATGACCGGTAAAGGGCGAGGACCCGGTGGTAGAGACTTCCGGTGCCGTATGTTGGATGTAGAGATATAGATACATGCCCATATGAAGGATAAAGCAAGGAGAAAAGGAAGATAGTCCATATTGATATCCAAATATTCATGACCACAACAATAATGTATATAGACAAAATATAAATGAGAGTTTTTCTCAAGAGCTTATGATGAAAATAATGCTCATTTTAGAAATACGAGTCTGTTTAATAATTTTACCTGTTCTAGTAGCTATTAGCTGTTTTTATATCTGACAGTTGTTTTACTAATAATTAGTTATTTGATTAGTTGTTTAATATAAAACCGCAAAAACGGTATGAATGTAAAGGAACAAGGTAAATGATGGGTACATGTGTCATAAAAAATTATAAAACGCTAAACGTTAATGAAAATAAGGTTTCATGAAACACCGTCTCAAACACTAAACACTATGATATATATTCTATTACTGAGTGTTATAATTAATTAAGATAATATTTTGACATAATCAAAATACTAAATACTACTTTAAAAATTGCTGCTAAACAGGGCTATTTATCAAAATAAATATATTTTTGAAAGTAATACCAATAGGTTGTGCACATGACACACCCATGTGAAGGAGCACGCCTTAGATTGTGCACATGACTGTTTCTCTTTAATTTAATGTTATATTCGGCAATAATATTTTAAGTAGCTTTTAGCGTTTTATTTTGTGTTGTGTTCGGTAATATATCGTTTAAACTAGCTTTTATAAAAAACTATTTGAACAATTAACAGCTATTAAAATAATTAATTTTGCTGAGCATATCCTGGAATTTAAAAAAAAAAAGCTTCCAACCTTCGAATCAAAGGCCAAACTTTTGTTAGGCACAAAACTCATCAAAAAGCCAATATTCACATGTCAAATCATAAAAAAATTATATCAAAGCCTTAAAACAAGAAAATGAATTAAAACAAAACATGAATCTAATTAAAAACTAAATATACCAAAGCCAAACACTCCAAATTAATATAAAAAACCTATCTTAAATATCTATAAATTTACTCATATCACACTTGGCTGTCTTGTAGCAGTCCAAACTGTTTTTTTATTTCAGTTAATTGATGGACTAGATTACAAAATTTGCAACCAAACTCTTGTTTGGTATACAGGTAGGTATGTGCCTATGGGATGTGACCCATAGGTTTTCAAAAGAGAAGAATACGACGCCAAAAGTGTTTTTAATCTATATTTATTATAAATCAAGTTGATCTCTCAACCATCACTTTATATTAAAATGTGAGAAATAGAATTATTTTCCATTTTACATGATTCAATTAGATTGAAATAACATTGCCCATTTATTTAATAGATCATGTGCTGACACATTGAAAATTTTGCTTCAATAACCACATTAATGTAAGATAAGGTTTTAAATGTAACAGGGAACTGCCAAGAGAGGCTCAGTCCTGTGTAGTGAGAGGCCAAAAGTTTCCAATCAAACGAGTGGACAAGAGAAGCCAACATTAGGTGCAGCATTCTGTGTGCCAATGTCAATCCAGGGCAGATCCTCCTTCCAGCTCCAACTGGGATTAGCTCGAAGTCTCTCCCTTTCCCATCAATTTTGTTATCTAAAAATCTCTCTGGCTCAAACCTATCTGGGTTTGGCCATATCCTTTCACCTCTTCCCATAGCTCATACATTGACTAGTACTTGTGCATTTTTGGGCACCTTGAACCCATTTATCTCCACCTCACTTTCAGCTTTACGAGGCACTAGAAATGGCACCGGTGGATGCAATCTAAATGTCTCTTTTATTGTTGCTCGTAAATAAGGGAACTTTATAATGTCACTTTCCTCAATTACGCCTTCAACTTGTTTGACCTCATGTTTTAACTTTGCAAGTTTTTCAGGATTCTTCAGTAATTCTGCCATTGCCCATTCTAATGTCCTTGCTGTTGTGTCGGTGCCAGCAACAAAAAAATCCTGAATGTAATGCCATTGCCCATTCTAATGTCCTTGCTGTTGTGTCGGTGCCAGCAACAAAAAAATCCTGAATGTAACAAAGGTATTTTGTCAATCTAAAGTCAATTTCTCTAATCAATTCTTAAAAACGGACAAATGACTTGGGTCCTTGAAAATGTATCTCAATAACACATGGGAAAAATTATAGCCTTTGAAAATGTGTTTCAATAGCACATAGTATATTTTTTATTATTATTTAAAAATTTAAACATTTTCTTATTTTTTATCGAAGGAACATAAATTGATCATAAACTCAAAAGTTATATCTTAAATTGATCTAAAATAATTTTTAGATCAAATTAAATATTTATGGAAAAATTTCGGACTAAATTATATATTTTTGCTTATTAGAAATACTTATTAAAACTAGCAGTCAAGGGAAAAAATCATGACTATCATAATAGTCACTACCAATTAACTAATTAATGGCACTGTTTCATAATAGTCACTACCAATTAACTAATTAATGGCACTGTTAATTTTTCTTAATTTAGTGATAAAATGATATTATTTAGGGAAAGCATATTATATTATAATTAAAGAGGATCAGATTATCCATAAACTTTTTTAAAAAAAAGAACAAATTATCCATAATACATAGGAAAAAAATCAATTACTCACCAAAAGCATATGCCTTACATCTTCAAGTCTTAATCCAGAATTACTTTCTTTGACAAGCATGAGAAGAGAATCAAGTACATCGCAGCTTGCCTCTGCCTCTGCCTCAGCCTCAGTTGTTCCTGATGAAGAAGAAGCACTTAATTGCATTCACTTACTGATAATCCCATCAAAATTGACTTTTATTCCAAAAAATAATGTTTTTTATAAAGAAACAATTTTCTAAAGAAAACTATTAACAACTTTGATATTTGTCTTTTATGGAGTGAAAATATGCATTAGAGCACCACAATTCAATCAGTGATTTTAATATAAAATCAAAAGTTGTTGGTTTTATCTAATAGTTACTGAAAAGTAAGTAAAAGAGTAAGCAAAACTTCTATTTTGCAATAAATCCACCGATTGAAGTACTTGTCTTTATAAAAGAAATATATATTTAAATAATCAAATAGTTTTTCAATAAGATATATAAATCATTTAGTGATTTTAATTTTTTTCGTTTCGAGAAATAAACCAAATAGAGGGATTGAATTTGGAATTTGGGTTGTTGTATTTCTTTCTCCACTTTGTTGGGTTATCCCACATCGGTTGTGGAAGGGGCTAGTGATCAAATTATAAGTGTGAGAGGGAAAGTCTCACCTCTTGAGTTAACTTTTGAGGTTGAGAAGGCCCAAAATCGCCTATCAGTGGTATCAAAGCCCAGTTATAGCAATTTCAGCCCAGTTTTCGAGAGAGTATGGGTTGTTGCTCCTTCGACCCATGGCCCGATGTGTGAGGAGGAAATTATTGGGTTATCCCACATCGGTAGGGGTTGGTAATCAAATTATAAGTGTGAAGAAAAGCCTCACCTATCACATTTTGTTTCAAAAGAAAAGAATATAACATTCAAGTTTGTTTGGAGGTCTTTGAAATTTCTGTGCGTATATGTTACAGAACCCAACACCTTTTTAGAAGAAAACGGCAACACTCTTCATGATTTAGGAAAGATCGACAACTTTCTAAATATACACGCATGTTTATAGTTTTATCATACATCCATTACGTTTGTTGATTGGTTGTAAATTCTGCAGCTCAAACTTCTTTACGTGCAGTGGCATAGCTAGGGGTGGCCGGTCGGCTCGCACCCTAATTTTAATTTTTCTTTTTAAATTTATCTTATAAAATATAAAAAATTTTTCTTTTTATTTATAAAATAATGATTTTTTTCGATATCGCTCTTTGTAAATTTTGAAAAATTTTTTCGTCTCCTCTAATTATTTTTTCTGTTCGCCACTGTTTGCATGGCACATATTTAATTTGACTTCCTGCAAAAAGAATAATCTAAATTTTTTTTTCCTTCTTTTTCAATAGTCACTTTGTAACTTAATATTTATAACTATTTTAATTTTCCTACAATACTAATAACCATGGTATATTATAATCTGACACAGAAAATCATTCAACAATATTATACAGTCCTCTTAATGCATGTAACTGAGCATGAAGATAAAGCCTTGAACCAAATGTTTGGGCTACAAAATACCATAAACATCATTAAAAGAGTAATCTGCAACAACAATTTCTAAATAAAAAATATTATGCAATCAATTTTTATCACTTTTATTTATATTGCTTCTTTTTATAAAAAAAAATATCTTTTTTCTATTTTATATTTACATTCTCACTATTTTTATTCGTTTTTTTTTTATTCTATAGGAGGATACTGTACTCTTAATTTCTAGAAAAAAAATAAAATGCTTTGTATTTTTATTTTTTATTTTTATTTGTTTTGTATTTTTCTAAACAGTCGATATATATTGTTTGCCTTACAATAATGTATTTATATAATATATTTATTTACACATCACACGGTATATTTTTATCCTAATAAATCCTCACATGGTTTGTTTATAAATATTATTGACGGCATCTTCATTAACTCTTGTTCTTCTTTTAACTTTACCTTTTAGATTTGTAACAATGACAAATGTAAGTAAAAATCAAATCTTTTCCTCCCAAAAAAATTCTCGAAAGGCAGATATTCAAGATCAATACGATATTATGAATGGAATGATGGCAGACACATCGAAGGGAATAGGACATAACAAATGCAAGAATTGTAATGCCATGATCTCTTCAAGCCAAGCTGCAGCCAAGTGCTTCAAAAATACGACTTTGATCTAAAAAATAAAAAAAAAAATAGTTAAACATGATTTTATTATGATAATTTAAATTATGTCTTTAGTTTTCTAATTAGTAGTTTATGTGATTATATATATATATATATATATATGATCTTTAAAAAATTAAAAAAAAAAATAGTTAAAAAACATGATTTTTATTATGATAATTTAAATTTATTGTCTTTAGTTTTCTAAATTAGTGTTCTATGTGTTTATATAATATATATATATATATACTATAATAGTTTGTTAGGTTGGTAATATTAATTTTAATATATAGTTTAAATCATGATAAATATTATTATATATGCATATATTATTGAATGTGTTTCTATACTGTTCCAGATTTTTTATTATATATACTTATTCATTATTCCGGCCCACTTTCTTTTCCGCCAGATGTTAATATATTTTTAGATAATTATAAATATATATATATATATATATATATAGTTTGTAGTTGGTTAATATAATTTTAATATATAGTTTAAATATGTAAATATTATTATATATGCATATATTAATTGAATGTTGTTTCTTATACTGTTCCAGATTTTTTATATATTATACTTATCATTATTCGGCACTTTTCTTCGCAGATGTTAATATATTTTTAAGATAATTATTAATTATAAATCATACTATTATTTTGAAAAAATTTTGATTTTGGTTGTCCTACTGAAATATATCGATTTCAACCCTATAGACTTTATTTGGCAAAAGAAGTCTCTCTATACCTAACGCATTTAACTCATAGATGCATCCATTAGTCATCAAGTAAAAAAAGAAGTAACCAACAAGGTGTCATAAGGTGAGATTTGAGAATATAAATTTGATTTCTCTAAAACAAAATTTAGTAACTGAGAGGGTAAAAAATCTTCACACTCTATGGTCCGAGGGGATTACATATCCCAATTATATCAAAAAGGGTTAATTATAGATTTATTACCTGAATTTCTGAAAATTTTTTATTTCAGTGTCTCAACGGAATACATTTGCAATCAAGTGTTGGAACCGATTAAATTTTTTTAATTTAGAGTCACCGTAATACGGTGCTTGTCGGAAATATGAATAGGACGTGTGGGATTCATTAATTGCTCAATATGAAGTTGAGCAGTGAAGTGTAAACATCAAAGGATAAAATTTCCTTAACAAAAATCCTACTCAGAACCCAACTCTCTTTCTTTCTCAGCCTCCTCAATCGATCACCACCTCTCAACCAATTTCTCCATGGCAACAGGGCAGCCATCAATGATCGATCCAAAACCCAAACACAAACATAATAATACTAATACTAATACTTGTTCATAGCCTTCTCCTCCTTCCCCTTCTACAACTAGTAAGCAAGCATTTTAAAACCTGTCAAAAATCCCAAATGCCTTTACTTCTCTTACCTCCATAGATAAAACTCTCAAACCTCAAAAAGAAAATCCACAAGAATCGAACTTTTTGATATGCAGCTTTGTAGCAAAGAAATGCAAGGAATAAACTCATTATTAAACTCATCTTCTCTGATCCCTCTTGAAGGCCTTCAAAATCAGCAGATCTAAAACCCCTATTTCGATCCTTCTTCTGCTTCTAATGATGATTTTCTCCTTCTTGTTTTTGGGCTGACCTCAAGTCTCCTTGGGACCTTAACCTTACAATTAACCTCATGCCTATTACTAACTCAGCCATCGCCACTGTAAAACCTAGAGATTTATCTGACGAAACGCCGCCGACTATACCGAAAAATGTTGACTTCCATAGTAATTTAACAAGTCTGCGCTTTTGGCTTCTAAGCTTAGACAACACCAAATCAGCGGCGATGGAGGAGGACCGTTATCTGCAGCAGCGGCTGCAGATGCTGCTAAGCTGATGTTATAACAGCAAATATTGATGGCTGCTAGAGGAGGAGCGGGCTTGTCACGAAACGACACATTGATTTCTCATTCTTCAAGTCTCCTACACAGGTAAGTTTCAAGATTCTCTCTCCATTTTCCACTCTCTTTCTTCTCCTTATTTTATTGGATTATCTGCAATTATTTCAATTGTTTTGATATTGACTTTAGTGAATTTGCAACTTTTAATTGGTCTCTAGCAACTGTTATTGCGATTGTTGAATCGAGTTGGGGCCTTGCACCACGGTCTCTAGCAACTGTTATTGCGATTGTTGAATCGAGTTGGGGCCTTGCACCACTGAAGCAGAGTAGTTTTCTGATTGATGGAATGAAAGGAGTGGCTTTTACTTTACTATTATTTTTTGGATTTTGGTGGGGATTTTGTTATTCCTTAGTTTTCCGTTACCGCTGCCGCTGTTGCCATAGAGGAATTGGTTGAGAGAGGCTGAGAAAGAGAGAGAGTTGGATTCTGATTTCTGAGTATGGTTTTTGTAAAGGTGCAATTTTATCCTTTGATGTTTATACTTCATGGCTTGACACGTCAAATCCGACGTGTTATGTTATCTGGCATCCTATTCAACTTCATTTTTAATAATTAGTGGGTCTCACATGCCTATTTATATTTTCGGCAAGCCACATAGAACGATGGACCGGATTGAAAAAAATTAATTGGTTTCGATACTTTATTGCAAACATTTTCCGTTGATACTGAAATAGAAAATTTTTGAAAGTTCAATTACTAAATTTATAATTAACCCTACCAAAAAAGAAACAAGCATGCATGATATGGTTTCACATCCAACTGAAATCGAATGTTAGAATTGGCACCTAAAGGAATTCTAAATTTATCTCCAGCTCAATATTGTTCATAGTTTGAAAATTCTTTGGTATCCCAAATTCGAAATCACCTGCATCAATTTGACTTCCAATTTCATTTATCTCATGTTAATGTGAGGCAAATGTTTGCACTAATTGATTATTTAAGTTTGCTTCTTCTACAGTTGATTTTTTTGCCTTGCTTGACTCATGATTTTATCTCGGTTGGTTATCTTCGTTTTATTGTTAGCTAGTTTTTTCCAGCTCTCTTTGTTTTTTTTTATCAAACAAAAATAAAATTATTCAAGATTATAAATAATCTATAAGTAAGAATTAAATTTATTGACATCATAACATCTATACTATATATAAAAGTGGAAATAGTGGGAATAATGAGATTTTCGATAGCCACTTAATGAAATTTTGGATATCCTAAAATAACTTTAGTCATAACTAATTAGAAAATTACAGTTTATTATGATATATTTATAAGAATTATTTTTTTAACCAATCATTTGTAGTCTGATTGTCTTTTCACTTATATAAGGAGTGAGAGGTCTCGAGTTTGAATACTTTCGACCACAAGTGTTTTTCCAATTTAGTGAGTAGAGGCTTATTCCTTATTGTATAGCGTGCAGTGTTATTTCAGCTCATTATGCCTTTTAATGAATTAAAAAATTTTATTTTTTAAATAAATATATATGGATAATTAAGTATTTAAAAATTTAAGTTTTATCTTTGCTAAAGTGATTTTTTAATAAACATATATGATAATGAAACATTTAAAAATATTTTTATATTTTATTTATTAAATATTTAATTCTTTTAGGATATAGATAAAAGAAAGAAAGAAAATACGTTCTTTTTATTAATATTTCTTTTTTCTTTATGCTTGTAACGTAACTTTTAAAAATAAATTTTCAAATATAATACATATAATATTTTATTTAGGAGAGATAAAAATATTTAGGCAGAGATAAAAAAAAAGAAAAAAGTATATTATTTTTATTAATATATTTTTTTTGATTGTAAGATTTTATTGGATATATATATAATATTATTTTTTAAAGTAAAATTTTTAAAATGGAATTTATATTAATTTAAATCTGAGATGATAAACGGCCGTTTGAAAATTTTTAATTTAAAAAAATATATATAATATTTTACTGATATATTATATATTCTATATACATTGAAATATTTTTTGTTTAAGTGAGTTTTGGAAAGAGTTTTATTTTTATAATTAATTTTTTATTTTTCTTTCGTTATTAAATAATTTTGTAATTACTATCATTTTTAATTTAGTAAGAGGAAAGAGTTTTATTTTTAATAATAATTTTTTATTTTCTTTTTCGTTATTAAATAATTTGTAATTACTATCATTTTAATTTAGTAAGAGATTTATATCCCCTTGCAATAAATAGTTGGTCTATTAATGATTAAGCATTTTTAATTTTCTTGATATCTTTTCTTTTATATCCTAAATCTGTTTGATTTAAAAGAAAATAGTGTTTAGGAAACTGGAAAAAAACTAAAACCATATAGTTCTGTTTGGGTCACTTTTTAGGATTTCAAGAATTTCTGTGTACAGTGCATATATTCATTTCTCTGATACACTAGGTAAATAATACCGTTACCCTACCCAAAGTGATTTTTATTATTAATTCAAATCATCCTCTCATTTCTTTTCTTTTTACCTAGCAGTAAAAAATAATTTATTATTATTTTCATTATAATTGTATATAGATATTAATTTGGAGTTAAGAGCAGGAATTGGAGATTGAGTGATGACTTGATTTTCTTTTTGGGCACATATTAAGATTTTAAAAATCTGCATTTATAAATTACGGACTAAAGAATTAGGTCCAAGGATTGGGTTAAACTTTATTCTAAGACCATTTAATTGTATAAAAATAAAAATTAAGTACATAAAAAGTAGCTTTGCAAATAGTTTGTATGATAAAGTGTAATACAAATTAACTATTCGTATTTATTTTAATCTAAACAAAATTTATATTTTAATATTACATAAATAAAAAAATGAGTATATAACGAATATAATCAATGTGCAACCCACGTCATATAAAAAATTAATAATTATTAAAAACCTTGTGACTTTCTTAATAAAGTGAGGAATTAATAAAGGACTACAAATATTATATAGATTGTTATAGAGTGAAAAAGAAATACTGTGCGACAAAAGAAAAAAAAAATTACAGAGAAGTAGCTTCTTTTGAAACTTGAAAGAGAATTTAGAAATTTTGAATCCAACTCGAAATTAATCCTAAACGTAGGAATTGTAATAATTTACTCTAAAATAAAATAAAAATAGCTTCATCGCGCTTTTTTCTGTCATTATTAAACAGTTGCAGAGTAGTTGGCATGGACTGTAGCGCCCGGGAGCAAGGTCGAAACCCAGTCGATTTTCCCATTTCCATTTGGCCCAATTGACCAATTCTCATTTTCATCGCCTACTCATAAATCATAAGGTATGTCGCTGCAGGCATATCTCTGCCCAGTGCACGTGACTGCTCCTGTCTCACGTGCCAAGACAACATGGATCAATCTCCGCCGTCCATCATCGTCATCATTACCCTTTTGGATTTCCCGGCAGCCTATACCGCTCGTTGTTTGGTCGCTCCCCACCGTGAGGAGCTCGACTGGACTGCCGTTTCTTGATTTCAAAGGTGGCAAAGGGTAATTGGGTCGAATATGTCTGCTTTCTTTTAATTTTTCTCGATTAATAGAGTGTTTGATCTTGATATCCATGTTCAATTATGTGGAAATTTGACTTGTAGAATGAGTGGGTTTGTTGATATTGAACTAAAGGTGCGTGATTACGAGCTGGATCAGTTTGGAGTTGTAAACAATGCCGTTTATGCGAGCTATTGTCAACATGGTGAATTTTTAGTCTCCTTGCCTTTTCATGTTCAATTTAATTCAATTAAGTTGCTTATCTGGTTTATCAGTTTTATGGAGCTATGGATATATTCTTCACTTTTATGCATTGAATGCCTATAGAGTCATAGACAATGAACCTGTTCACTGGTTGTTTAATTGCTTCTTTGAGCTTTCAGAGTCAAATTAGTTAGATGCAGTATAGGGCATTTCATGTGCATTTGTCTTTTAGTCAGTTTTTTGTTGGCTTTGATTTTTTAATCAAATTGAAGGTCATAAAAAATATTGCATCACAGATTACAGTTTCATGGAGTCTACTCTTATTTGAACCCCCAAGTTTCCTATTACTTTTCGACTCTATGTTATTATTATCAGAAGGGTTCGAAATGGGCTTGTCAGTGTTTTTATGACACTATCCTTTCGCTAGTACTTAATGTATATTGGAACTTAAAATGTACACAAACATTGCTTAGTTTTAGTATCTCTAATCTTATGTCCAAGATTGTTTCTTCCTTCTGTTTTTCTTTTTTTCTTAATTTGCTATTGCGACTGATTTTTTTATCTGTCTTCCAATGCTCTGTGGATCAACCATTATTACTGTTCCCGTTAGTTTTTTATGTTAAGCAACAAGTTTGGAATTCTGTTGATATCTTTTGAACTTTTGAATTGATAAATTATCCTACAACTTTAATCATGGTGGTATTTATGTTCCTTTTTTTTTTTTTTTGGATGTTTTGAACCTCTGAAGCTATTATGAGCTTATGGCTTGGAGGATCCTACATTTGGTTTTGTACTTCTTTGTACAGCTGATACAGGACATATTTGTATCAACATAGAATAAAAAAATCAAGTATATATTATTGAACCCATATATAAGTAATCTGCTTATCCAAGCTGACCTGTTGTAGCCCATATATAAAGGTGATTTGAGGAGAATTATGACTTTTCTCGTCATTGTTCCTCTATAATTTTTCATAGTACTACAGATTGAATTAAATTGGATGAGAATGGAATGAAGTAAATAAATCTCAGCTAGGCATGGGGATGTTAATGGATGAAATAATTATATTTTCTTTTGCCTTGCCTTGAAAATATCACTTGTGTTTTTCACTGGATAGATAGGACCTACTTGGTCCATTTTCTAGTCATCTGATAATTTACAACTTCTTCATTTGATATCTGAATCAGGTCGTCATGAACTTCTGGAGAGGATTGGTGTCAGTGCTGAAGCTGTTGCTCAAACTGGTGATGCTTTGGCACTGTCAGAATTGTCACTAAAATTCCTTGCCCCTCTAAGAGTATGTCTTGGTCTTTATCATTTTTTTTTTTTTTTTTTTTTTTTTTTTTTTACATGTTCTGAGAGGGATTGATACCCACCTGGTTCCAGTAGACTGTGAAAGACTGATATAGCTCAAAACCCCATTTGCAATAGCATTTGTCACTGTCACGTACAATTAGTTCATCAATGAAGCATAACTTCCATCTTGAATTCGCAACGCCTTCTTAAGAGTACTGTTATACAGGGATGCTCTCTAATCATATATTTTTCTATCTTTAGTTTCTTTTTTGGTATTTTTTTTTAGAAATGATCTTATCACTTGTTTATAAACGGCAACCAACAACTGACCATTTTTTTTTTTTTTTTTTTTTTTTTTTTTTTTGAGAAATGATCTTTATCACTTGTTAAACTTCTAAACAACAATGTTTGGTCTTTATGTTGTCTTGCAATTCTATGCTGTTGCTGCTTTCTTTGATACTGCACAAAAAAGTAGGGCAGGGAATGAACTTGTATCAAGGATTACTATATTAGTCTGAATTTAATAATACTGTTGAAAATTTAATTTGGCTAGAATGTTCTTAAAATGTCAATCTGAGATCTTATTTCGGTTCGATACGTCCAACTACAAGATTCACCTTTCGCTTTCGTCTCGCTAGGTGTATTATTCTACATTTTCCCAAAGAACATTCATTGATTTCTTAAAAGTAGGAATGATATCTCATAGGGAGAATGGTTAAAAGCTTGGAACTTCAGTAGTATTTGCTAATTTGCAGGCACATGACTATACTTTTTACCATTATAGCTATCAAAGCAGTGCCATAACCAGGCAGGCTCTTTTTGCAGGGCTTGTCCAAATTTTAATTCTGCTACATACATCTTTAATGTGCTTCTCTACAGCTGTAGAAAAAGATACCAAAAATTGAGGCAAGAAATTGCATTTGCTTGGTTAAATCGCAGACTGCTTATGGAATGTGCTGCAATTAGTGAAACCAAGAACTTGCCCATCTTCTTAAAAGATAAACTATTTCTAGCAGAATCTGATAATATATTTTCTCCCTGGTGTATTTGTGCCGCTAGAGTGGAGATAGGTTTGTTGTGAAAGTGAGGATTTCTGGATCTTCTGCGGCTCGCTTATACTTTGATCACTTCATTTTCAAGCTGCCAAGTGAGGAGGTTTGCTATTATAATCCTTAAAATGATTTTATTGTGGTTTGCCTTTCCTTTCTAAATAAAGCTTTGATTATTTCTTCTGCAGCCTATTTTGGAAGCAAAAGCAACAGCAGTTTGGCTTGACAAAAATTATCGTCCTGTGCGTATTCCATCCGATTTTAGATCTAAATTGGTTCAGTTTCTCAGACATGAGGAGTCTAATTAGCTTAATCATATGGCAAGAAATTGCTTACTGTAACCATATATTCTCACACTTGTCTTAATTATTTACTTGCAAAGAAAAGAGGTTGAATATGAAAAGAGATTTTTTTCTTTTCCCCCAGAGAATTTGTAAATTTCTTTACTAGAAAGATAAAAATATAGATTTTGTCATATATTTCTGAGTTGTTTATATTTTTCTCCAATGCACGCAACTTTCTTATACATGCACAGAACATGTAAGCTCTAATCCAAATAAAGGCTCTGCTCGGATACTTGTATAAATGTTATATAATCAAACACTTATAAATAAATAAAAAAAATAGTATTTTGATTTTAATAAAAATGGCAAATATTATATGAAAAGTTAGCGTCAAAATATAATACTAAAAAAATATGAAAATAAAAATCCATGATTGAAATTGATATTCTAATTTTAATTGAAAGAAAATCTATAAATATAATCCTTTGTCAATTCATTTTTATAATTTAAAAATCGGAGAATACTAAAAAATGTTGAAAAAGTGAATTGACAATAATTTATACGTGCACGCACACTCGCACAGTATTCTTCTCTCTAGACTCTTCAAACCATTATTGTTCACTCAACTAACACCGGTGCTTGTTTTGATTGGCAGTTTGGACCAGTGGACTAAAATCAACTACATTACACCCCATGCAGCCACGCAGTTCTTGAACATTACTGAGTCGCTATTTTCTTTTGCTGCTCCATCTTGTTGGACCTTGCTTGTAGACCACCGTAGTCCTCGGAGCACCTGATCATCTTCATCTGCCGAACTTTATGGTAGATGATTATAAAAGATTGGTGCTAGAATTGCCATGATCGCAGAGGAAAAAAACAAAAAATGGAAGAAGGAAAGAAGGAGAAGAAGAAGGTGATGGTGGCAATAGACGAGAGCGAATTTAGCCATTACGCTTTGAAATGGGCAATTGAGTATTTGAAGGACACAATTGTTGATTCTGAGCTTGTCATCTTCACTGCTCAACCTAATACAAACTTCGGCTATGTCTATGCTTCTTCTATGGGTTCAGCTCGTTAGTATTTCTCTCTCTCTTGTTTTTTTGATCTTTTAACTATTTTTTAACCGTTTGATGAGGTTTTCCAGCTCCGGAGTTGATAATAAATATGCAAGAGAAACAAAAGATGATTGCATTTTCTCTATTGGAGAAAGCTAAAGAACTCTGCGCCCATCATGGAGTAGTTACTGAAACTTTCACTTTGGTTATTGGTTTAATTTCAGTTTATTTCAACAGATAATGATTTCTAGTCCAATATTGTCTGTTTCTTTTTTATTTTTTCCTCTCTAACCCTTTGAATTTGTGTTGGCACAGATCGTTGCAGAGACATTGACAGAAGTTGGGGATCCTAAAGAGGCAATATGTGAGGCAGTGGAAAAACTCAAGATTCAACTACTTATAATTGGCAGTCATAGCAGAGGAGCTATACAGAGGTTCATTTAATTTATTTTAATGATGATAATATAAGTATTAAAATTTTATAATTGCAAAATGCTTGATTATGACTTATTTCAACATTTTTTAAGTGAATTTTTAATTTGATTGAGGTTTTTGAGTTATGTTATGAGTAATTAGTATCGAGAATTATCTGCCAAGCAGTAACTTGAGTTTGTGGGTGCAGGGCTTTCCTTGGGAGCGTCAGCAACTACTGTGTTCACAATGCCAAATGCCCTGTTCTTGTTGTTAAGAAACCAATTTAGCAACTTCAATGTTACTATCATGTAAGAAAAAAGATTATCCAGAACACTAAATTCTGATTAGGAGGAGACTTGAACCTTTTCTTTGTGCCGTTTATCAACTTGTTTTCTGTGGGCTAATGAAATGAAGGAATTGCTTCTTATGATATGATTCTGTTAGCTTTAGATGTTCCGACACCTCTTGTTAGCTTTGACCCTCTATATTACTTGTTAGAAATGAATAGATACTGTGATATGGTTGAGATTAGATAGAAAATATGATAACACTCTCGTAGAAACAAGTGAAAGAAGGAAAATATAAGAACACTTAAAACTTACATATTAAACTTTGGCTTGCCTTTACATAAAGAATTACAATTTTACAACTACACAATCACACCTTTCTATAATAAGATACGAGAAATTGAGAGTTAATAATAAATTCTAACTTTTTATCTATTCAGAAACTTCAAATTTAATTCACGTATTTCAATTCATAATTTCTAACAGATTTAAATCCCCTTAAAAAATTCTGCAATTTGTTATTTTATCAAATGTTATAAGAACAGAATCTTTTGATTGCCTTAGAAAGCAATCCACAATTTAATTATGGAAAATTTTTATAAAACAAATGTATAGTTTTGCATTTTTTTTTTCAAGGTTAAGTTTTAAGAAATTAATTTTCATTGATTATAATAACATTTTGATTGATTATTAAAATACAGCAGTGACTAAAAGATTACCATAATTGCAGAATTGTTATTTAATAATAGCTTTAAGTTTCGATATCATACCATAGTTTCTTGATAAAGCAAAACCGGTAATAGAAGTATATATACTCTATTGTAAATTTTCATAGACCAGTTGTTTAAAAGATTTTCTACTATAAAAAAGTAGACAAACATTTAATTACCAAAGCTTTAATCTCAAGTATTCTTGTGAACAATGTTATAATCTAAACGTTTTTTAGTTATTTTATTAATTTTCCTCCAATATCTTAATATATGTATAACTCGTTCCCAATATAGAAAGTTCACTATTTGAATGATTCACAAGTAATATTTCTTATATATATTTTTTTTATGGGATAATCATGCAAATGTCAACAAGAATATAATGTTTTCATATGACAAAATTATGAATATACGCAAGAATAAATTTAAAAAGTATTTCAATTGTTTGATAAATGTGATGTTTGTGATTAGAGAAAGTTTTGAATTAATTTATTCTTATATCACCAAAGCTTATAATTTAGAAAATATGCCATTAGAAGTAATTATTACAAAATATGGGTGAATGTAAAAAAAATTCAAATTTTTAAACGATTTGCGTTTTATTGTAGGATATCGTTTTGTTGTATAATTTTTCCCGATTAACACGTTGTTGGTCACTTTACATAAATTGTGATTACTAATTATCTATTTAACTAATGTTTATATATAAAATCAAGAAACTCATTTGATGAGGAAGTAATTTTAAAAAAAAAAAAAAAACTAAGATTATTAAATGGTTTCCTTAATTAATTAAATGCTTTCCTTAATTTTTTTTAAATTACTTCAAAATAATGTATTGACCATTTTTCCTTTAAGTGAAGTCCACAATTAATTTCACAACATTAGTTGAACACATGAGCAAAAGACACTCCACATATCAATTTTTTATAATTGAGATATTTAATTACAAAAATTTTACGTTCATACACCAAACCAAAACAAAAATTTTAAAAGTTTTGGACACCACATTTATAATTAACTTCATAAAAGATTGGGCATGAGCAACAATATTGCTATATTTACATTGGCTTCGTGACTTGAAAGGTTTAGTAGTCCATGGACTATTTTTTTTTTTTCTTTTTCCTTTTTGGTAGAATAGGGAGGTGTAATCTTTTCGGACCGTAAAGCTTAATTGTGTAAGGTCCTTTTATTTTCCCAATAAATACAGTTCTCGTGTACCGAACTTATTCTCACGTCCACGAAAATTGAGTCATTTATTATCCAAATCAATACCTTTTTAAAATAACTTCCAAATAAGACAAAGAACTAATTGTGGACTATTTCTCGAAAAGATACAAAAGAAGTAGGTGAAGATGCTCTCAATTCAAATAAAGCAGTGTCTCCTATGAAGACTTCTTTTCTAAATTATTAAGTATTATAGATAACATGTCAATTCTCTTAACTAAGTTTTAAAATATTATAGATAAAACGTCAAGTTTCTGCTCAGGTAAAGAATCTATAGTTTGTTTGTGAACTCAGCACTCGCTCCTTTGTGCAAAAATGGAGAAAGAAAAAGGATCTAATAACAAAAAAGTAATGGTGGCCATAGATGAGAGCGAGTCCACTTACTATGCACTCATGTGGGTTCTTGACAATCTCAAAGAATGGGTTACCAATTCGCCTCTTGTGATCTTCTCAGCACAGCCTAGTCCTAAGATTTGGTATGCTTATGCTGGTCTAATTGGCTCCACTTCCATGTACTCTCTTGTCTCACCCAGTTAAGTTTCCTGCTCTTAATTTGTTCTTCCATCTAAGATTATATTAGGCATATAATTTCTAATTAACATGTTATAACCAAACCAAGTTGAGTTGATATGGTGCAAATCACTCAATTTGATTAAAAAACTCCGACTCAAATCTTAATTGAATTTTAATTTTCATGTTGTATCGATTAATATTTTTAATAAATTTATTTATTCATAGTAAATTATAAAGTAGGGACAAAATCAATTATTCCCTCTTTTACGCTCAAAAAATTATGAAATATGTTTTGAATTATATAAAAATAAGTACTTTGATTAGGCAATTTACTATCTGAGTCAATTATTGTGATACTTCAATTTTGTTGAATTCGAGTATCCAATTAATCCTGGCTCAAGACAATTTTAAATCATTTTATGAGTAAAGTCCGAGTAATTTAACTTACTTGCACATTTATTTTTTAGTTTTAGATTACATATTAATCACAAGTGCATATTAATTTTCTAATAGCAGCCATGGAGTTGAGTAGCATTGCTCAAGAACGAAATAAGAAGGTATCATTGGGTCTCTTAGAGAAGGCAAAGAAAATCTGTGCTAGTCGAGGGGTATGGTCAACATACTTATATATATATACTATCTGTGTCAAAATTTTAGTTCAATAAAGAATTGAAGGATTCATGTGTGAGCAGGTAAAAGTGGAGACAATTACAGAAGCTGGAGATCCCAAAGAACTCATATGCAATGTTGTTAAAACTTACAACATTAGTCTACTTGTTTTAGGTTACAATGAAGGTGGAGCTCTTAAAAGGTTAGTTTGATTATGATTTTAATGGGTGTTTCATTAAATAATAAACAGATTTTCCAAAATGGTGTTTGATGAAAAACTATGTACGAAAATGGTACTCAAGTGAAAATATTGACCGATATAGCATTATATTGATTTTTCAAAGGCATTTAACACACACTTTAAAGGTAAGTGTTATGACTATAACAATCTAAAAAGACAAATGTCCACAAATATATTATGTCATTGTACTGTCGGTCTAGATATGCATTTACCATTAAACGATATTTTGATGTGCAAACTCTTGCTAGTATTAAAATTTTTGAATCAATTACTTTTATTCTAGTCACTTTGTAACAATTTATTTATTAGTATAATAAATGTTTTTAAAAAATCAGGATAACACTACATATGCTAATATTCATAGAGAAACATCACTTTCATAAATATTCTTTCTTCAAACACTGTTTTGAGAAAAAAAAAACTAATAAATTTATTTGCGTGTTAATGCGTGAACGCAGGGCCTTTATGGGAAGTCAGAGCAGCTATTGCTTAACAAATGCCAACTGCCCTGTTCTTGTTGTGAAGAAACCACAGAAAAAGGATTCCAAATCAAAATCCTCGCATCCACGTTAGAGGTGTAGCCCTAATTATAGTTGACCGGCAGTTAAGACCTAAAATATCTATCCGCCCTCTGTTTCCCAAACTACCTAATCACAAATCTGTTGCCTCTACACTGGAAATACTGTTGTAAAATATTAATATAATGGCGGAAATATAAACTTTTATTACAAGAAAAAAGTATGCATTCTTCGTTCCTTTTCTTACACAATTTTTGGAATATGTATTTGCTACAGTAACCTACAAGGCTCATAGTTAAGGAGCGACCACAGTTTCCGAAAAACTGGTTTTCGGTTTTAGAACCACTGATTTTGGTTCCGGTTTCAATAAATTTAGAATCGAAATTGAATCAAAAACCGACGTTTCTGATTACGGTTTAGAATCGAACAGTAACGATTCCGATTTCAATTCCTTAATGGTTTCAAAATCGACGGTTTTGGCTGATTCTCCAATGAATTTTTCCGGCAAATTGCATTATTATAAAATCAAAAATTAGGGAACATTTTTTTATTAAAACTTTAAAATTTAAATATTTATGAAATAATTTTTAGAAAAGGGCTTAACTTAATTTATTTGTTTTAAAAAAAGCTTGAATTTATTATTATTTTTTTTTAGAAAAAGGGTTTGAATTTAATTTATTTTTTTAAAAAATGGCTTGAACTTAATTTATTTTTTTAAAATGAAAAGGGGTATTTATAGTAAATTCAAAAAATTAATTTTTCACAAATACCCTTAAAACCAATCATTATATACTTGTTAGGAGGTTAATTGAGAATTTCAGAAAAATATTTAAAAAATAAAAAAATTTTTGAAATCAAGTGAAATCGCCGGTTCAAACTGTCGGAATCTCCAGTTCTAACTGGTTGAAAAAACCGTTGATTTTGACCTTTTTTAAAATCACCGGTTTACAGTTTCTTCAAAGTTAGAACTGGAATCGAACTGTAGACCTCCGATTTTGATTTCAATTCAAACCGATTTCTATTTCAGTCCCACCGGTTATGATTTTAAAAACCGTGAAATCGCTATCCCTACTTTTAGTCAACATAGCCGATTTACATTCAACAAGAAATAAGAAATTGATGTTTTGAATTTTTTTTCAATTGGATTCATTAATATAATAAATTCGCCATAATTCAAACAGATTATTATGTCGTTAACTGTTACTTCCTCCATTCAATTAAATTTGATAGTTTTTTACTTTCCATAAGAATTAAAAAAATAGTTGAAGCCACAATCATGGAAAAGAAAAGGGTAATGGACTAGCTATATTGGTAATGCTTATTTAATTATTAATAATGAAAACATCTAGATAAGGGTAAAATCGAAATAAATTAATTACTCCATCCGTCCCGACATATAAATTGTTTAAGGTTTTAGCACGGAGATTAAAAAATTAATAATTTTCCTTAATTAGTAAATTGTAACAAAATCAAGAATAATTTGAATAAATTAGCTTTTACCTCAAAATAAAATATTAATAAAAAAATGTAAAAATATCTTATATTTTGAAATAAAATAATTACTATAACGAGTTATATTTTGGAACGGATGATACTGTATTGAGTTTCTAAAAGTATCATTCAACTGAAAAAAAAAGTCAAAAACCATCAAATTTAATAGAAACAAGGGATTAACTGTTTTTTTCTTACGTGTTTTCCTCCTTTACTTAATTATATTTATTTGATAAGGGCATAAAGAAAAAATTGAACAAAAATAACAATTCATGATAACTAATAAATCAAAAATTCATAAGGATTTGTAGTTGAAAATTAAAATACATATAAAGTATATTTTTTATGAATTTCAATTCGATTTAATAAGCATTCAATTTTGTAATATATAATTAGAACCAAAAACAATCAACTCAATGGACCTAATTTTTTATTTATAAAATTTATTTATTGGTTTTCCACAAGTTAAATTTCTAAAAATTATTAAGATTATCTCCTTTCGGTTTTTCCTAATCTCACAGCTAGTTGGTTTGGAGATTAGCTCTTTTGGCGATTCAACTCTTAATACTGAATAGTACAAACTATTTAAACAAATCATTGTTGACTAACAGTTATGACCTAAAATATCCATCCGCATTCTGTTTCCCAAACTACTAAATTAGAAAATACTTCTTTAAAATGTAAAAGAAAACCCCTTCCATTCTCTATCTAACAAAATAAAAACCAAACTAAAGCTTCTTCAATCTTTAGGTCCAAACCCTGACAATGGCAAAAGAAGTAGAGAAGAAAGTGATGATAGCCATCGATGAAAGCGAGTACAGTTATTATGCCTTGATGTGGGTTCTTGACAATCTTAAAGAATCTCTCCAAAAAACATCCCTTGTTGTTTTCATGGCCCAGCCTCCACCAAGAAACAGCTACACTTTTGCTGCTGCTCTTGGCTCTGCTCGCTTGTATTCCCCTGTTTTAACTCGTAAGTGTTTCTCTATTGGTTTTCAGCTTTTCTGTTATTCAATTTATTAATCTGTTTTTCTGTTTTTGGTTTACAGCTCCAGATTTTAATAATTCTGTCAAAGAAAATAATAAGAAGCTCGCATTGGCTTTCTTAGAGAAAGCCAAGGAAATTTGTGCTAGTCGAGGGGTATGCTCATATATATATATATATAACAGTTAGTACTGATTGACAATATTGATTATATAAATTTTGTTTTTCAATGTTGGGTATGGTGAAGGAGACTGTTACTTATGAGATTTGAAATACATTCAACTATTGGTTTTTCAGGTAAGTGCAGAGATAATTACAGAGGAAGGAGATCCTAAATCAGCCATATGCAATGTAGTTCAAAAACTAAATATAAGCATGCTTGTTTTAGGAGAGCGCGGTCTTGGAAAAATCAAAAGGTTTATATGGACTCACCATTCATATTTCTTTATCTTTATTATTGTTATTCATACTATTGGGTACTGATACCGGTAATTTTATACAGGGCTTTACTAGGAAGTGTGAGCAATTACTGTGTTCAGTATGCAAAATGCCCTGTTCTTGTTGTGAAGAAACCGTAGCATGACTACTCTATGTTATGTTTGAACGAGTAATTAGACTAAAATATGTATTAGTATTTGTATTCTTTTATCCTATATTGCATCTAGTTCTAATAGTCCTGCTGGGATAATGGAAATGCGCGTATAAATACATGTTAAATATCAACTAAAAATTTTAGAAGAAAGCATTGCATGAACAAGCAGAATACTTACTGCTATTTTTTCAAGCATTGGTTAATTATTTATATAACATTCATAATTTACTAATAAACAAAGTAAACATGTAGTTTTAGAAAGTTTCTGGTTAACCCCAAACCTTAAACCATAACCCTGAGAAACTGATAATCATTGAAAAATCCGATTGAGAGTTGCTGCCAATCGAACTCCGCCTTGAGCTAGCCGATAAGTAACTATTGGTTTTCGAGATAAGAAATAAACATCTGCAAGCAGATGTGTATTTTAATTATTTCTTATTTATTATTTAACATCTAGACATGAATTAATTATATGTGTTAATCTCATAAGATGTTCTGGCTTACCTTCTAATACATCACCTTCTGATACACCTTTGTAAGCCCAATCACAAGCTGCTTTCACGCTTTCAGATGCATATCTATAAGAAAAGAACCCAATTTTAATTGAGATCAATTGCAAATAGTAAGAGCTCTTTGAAAATAAGATTGTTATTGTCAAACATACATGTCTGGGCAGGTTGTCTTGTTAGCACTGCAGGCTTCCCATCTTGGAACTAGATCTGCCCACTCTTTCTATTTTTAATAATTCCAGAATGCAAGGTATAAGTAAGGGGGAAAATTTGTACTGAATAGAAAATTAAGAAAAAGAACTTTATGGATTAAGTACAATTGTCTATTGAACTTTAGTTAAACATTTTTCAGCATTATTTTTCCAAACAGCAATTCAAATCAAACGATCATACCAAACAAATACACATCAAAGCATTAAGTACATATACAACCTAATAATAGATCTAGCTTCGAATTCTCTCCCTCAACATTCAAAAGAAAAAAGAATACCAAAGGGATCCTAATCCGTACGATGAGTAGAATACCGTTATATTTTGTTGAATTGCATCGATCAAGTTATCTACATTTGCGTAATAGAACCTTTCTTCTGTTGTGTTAATTATATTGGTATCCCAAACCTGTATGCATTGGCAATTTGGCATCAGTACAAGTTCTTAATGTAAAAGGTTCATGAAATTGGATTCGCAATTAAACTTACATGATGGAGTACTTCTTTCCTTGTATACCAATGGACATCAATTGTGTTGCCTCCTCTGTCTGAAGTAAAACCCACATGCAGAGGCTGCAATATGGGATATTAACATTATGTAATTATTGATGAAAAAAAGAAAACGTTAAATAGATAATCAACAAAATATACACTACCTGATGGATGTCTCCTATAAAATGAGAAAGGAAAAGAAGTGCTTCTGTAAGGTTATCTGTTATTCATTCAAATCATTTGTAATTTTAAAAAGGAAATTATGAAAGGAAAATTAAGGATTAAAATAATGGACTTGTTTTAATTACATCCAGAGGAATCACTTCTGTAGGTAAGAAGTTGGGAAGTGTAATTGTTGATCGCCCCAGCAACACACCTATCCTTTATCCCATTTTCATCCTTGCAATCCCCTGAACAAACGAAACAGGAATCCTACTAAAACCTTGTCTGGGCCCATTAATTTGTACTAAGAAACTGTAAATTTGGGTTTTGAAAAGGAGGAGAAGGAACTTACTCTTATACTGGTAATTGCAGAGAGAATCTGGGGTATCAATGTAATGAAGGGCAGATGACCAACGGTAACGAAACTTGACATGGTCAGCCCAAATGCAGACACTGGCCAAGTCATTTTCTGCATACTCAGGCAACAGTTCCTTAATAGCATCTGCTGCTCTTTCGCTTAACCGAGACTGTAACATACAAAATACGTGTATAAAGATTTGCTGAAACTAAGAAGACAAATAAGAAAAGGGAGAGAGGATTAATGATTGACCTGAGCAATTCTGCAAATAATGAAATGGCCGTCAGTTCCCCAGCCGTGAATAACTGGAAATGGAAGTAGTGAAAGTGAGATTATTGTTAGTATTAGTATTTGAACTTTGAAACACTCCATTCTCAGTTTGAAAGAAACAGGTTCAGGCTTGCAATATTAAGGTTTCTGTAGCTATATATAATATGCAGTGAAGGAAGGAAACTGAACTTATGGGATTTTGTGATTCGTGTGAACATGACGTACGAACTATGAACAGCTACTAACTTTTATAGTGTCTGCTTTAAAAGAAATCAATCAATCATATCTGATTAGGGAATGGTTTTAGTGATTTTTCTTTTTTTAGCCTTTTAAAAGATGATATTACAATACAATTTTTATTTTTTTTTATTATTATTATCCGACTAAGATTGATTAAGAAGACTAATGCCCTGGGACCGTCAAGTCCCATGATAGATCTCCCTTCCTCATTTCTATAAACTTATGATTCAGCAGCAGTTACAATAATATCCAATCTCATTAAAAGCGATCCAACCTAATTAACTGCAATTGTAACAATATCAGATCATTAAAGGCAATCCAACCCGGAAAGACAAAAAATAGTATATTACAATTAAATGGTTATAATTGTAGAAATTGAATCTAGAATTTTATGTCGTCCGGGCATGCTCTTGCCATTTGGACTAGGAATCATTTCCATGTGCTTTATGATTTTATGATGTATTTTATTGGGTTTCTGATTTAATTTGTAGTTATTTGAAATTTTATTGGTACAACAGTATAATTAAATGATAGAATTGCATTGGTGTAGATTTGTAATATACCTGATGGCAAAAAAAAAAAAGAAAAGAAAAGAAATTAAAAGTTGGAGCACCAGTGGATTTGATGTAAATGGTCTATTTTGGTTGTTTTGGCAATCTCTTCTTGCTTTCCATGTCTGTTTAGCTCCGTGCCTGCAAAGCAAAGGAACTTTAATAAGGATAGGAATGAAAGTTGAATTGGAAAGTGCTGACATTATTACTTACTTTTTTTTTTTTTATACCACCTGTAACAAACTGTCTAATCCAACTTGAGCTTAGTCACAGTTACAGTTACGAACATTATTACTTTTTTAATCCTGTATGATGCAGAATCTAATCTACCTATGGAAAAAGAAAAGAATATGAATGTCTAAATATGCAAAGAATAATACTGTAGAATCCCTGAATCCAAAATTTAGCTGGCAATTCCGTTGGTGAAAAAATACCATTCCAAGCCAAAAACTAATTTGGACAATCACAGCCCATTGCAGGGGAACAATGGGCCTGAGACCATTTTCGTAAAATATTAGAGTGATTTTCAACAGATCTCACACATGATAAAATTTAATAATAAATTCTTTAATTTTATAAAAAAAGTGAGGGTATTGAATAAAATTATTTTTTATAAATAAGAGCAAAATATTTAATTTTCTAAAAAATTAAATTTCATAATTAAAAAAATAAACTTATTAGATAAATTATAATCATAAATTTATTAGGAGCATAAATATTAATAAGGAATGATATAATAATTGAAAGAATATAACTATTATAAAGTATTTAAATAAATATTTTTTTTAGCAATTTAATATTAATTTATATGGTTGGTAGTTAAGGTTTTGAAAATATATATTTATTGTAGGGGTCCAACCGTCCAGCTCAACTCCCACAAAAAGCATTTTGAAGAAAATAAAAGAAAAAAGAACGTTTACCGACCAATAAACAAAACATAATTTGAACCACTTGATCGGTCAAACCTATCTAGTTTGCATCATTTTCTAGTGAAAACTAGTTGGTTCACTTGGTCAACTAACGGATTTGACTTTCTCCAAGTTTATGATAAATCCGAACCAGAAACTAGAAACCATGGCTTAATTGATTGAACTAGGCGGTGCTGTCGAGCTATGTTATTTTCTTCGCATTCTTTAAGGATGTAAGAAATAGGATGTAAATACATTTTACCAACTAAGAAATCAAACCCAATTTGAATCTGTTGAGTCGGTCAAATCTATTTGGTTTATTGATTTATAATGGAATCAGACCAACTCACTTGGTCAACTAATTTAGTAATAAACACAAACAGAAAAACAATAGTATTTTAACATTATTTTAGTATGTGATGAATGAGATGTGAACATGGAACTTTTGTTCATATATAATTCTTTATTTGCTAAAATAATTTTAAAAAAAAAATTCGTGATTCATGATTTCATTTTAATAATTAATTCGTGAAAGCTAATTCAAAATAGTTGAGGTGGAAAGAAAAGCACATTTTACATATGATTTTGACAATATTTTTAGTTATTAATTTTTTATTTGACCTAAGAAACTCTTGCTATTCTGTTTTATAAAAAATATTTATATTGGACACTTTGTCATTTAAGACATGGAGGGATGTGCATTTTCTAATATATTTTAGTTTTAGGAGGTGGCAAGAAATTATTTAGGACATGTCCAGAAATCATTTTCGAGGAAATATATGATTTAATTTTAAAATTTTTTAAATCCATTACGAGAGCTAATATTATGAAAAAAAAAAAAAAAAAATATTTTAAACAGTTATTATAGTATGTGGATGGAATGGAGTGTGACATGGAACTTTTGTTCATTATATTGATTTATTCTTATATTTGCTTAAATTGAATTTTGAGAAAGAATAATATTGTCGCTGATTCTCGTTTTTCATGTAGATAATTTTAATTGTGCGTTGAAAGCTAACTTCAAGAATAGTTGAGGGGTGGAAAGAAAAATCACATGTTACATATGATGTTTGGACAAGGTTGTGTCTAGTTATTAATTTTGTGTGGTGCCCGTTGACCTAAGTGCCCATACTCATTGCCTATTCTGTTTTATATAAAAAATATTTATTATTGGACACTGTTGTCTTATTTAAAGACATTGGAGGGATGTGCAATTTTCTACATATATTTTAGTTTTAGGAGGTGGGCTAGAGAGAACTCCGATTGTGTATTTATAGGACATGTGTCCAGATAAATCATTTTTGAAGAAAGTTAATAATGCATTCTTTAGTTTAAAATTTTTTTAAAATTCTCTACGAGAGGCTAAATATGTGCAAAAGAGGAAAAAAAAATATAACAGGATTTATTGAAAATAAGTGCTTTCTTACGAGTTGTTATCCCAGATTTGTGATATGTGCTAAGAAAGTTTTACCTTTAAATTGTACGTCTAGCGTTATTAATTGATTACGCGTGAATTGTTGTGTTGCCTTTAATTTTTAATACAGTGTACGTGGTAATAAATTGAATATGAATTAGATTATGATGAATTATGTGTTGGCTATTTCCCTACTTATTAGTATGTAGTTGTTATTACATGAAAACTCCCATATTGAGTGACACAAATCTGTATCTGCCAATGTGTTTCAGGTATTATATATTTTGTGTGTATCTATGTTGTTAACATAGGATTCTTATGTTATGTTCTATACTCTTTCTTTTTAGTTTTGTTACAATATATTTTGCTTTTTGTCTTAAAATGTATAACAGTTGAGGTATAGTGTGTCTCTGTGAAATTTAGTGCGTTCATTCGAATTATATATTTGATATTCTAGTTGCGAGTTTGTGATAATTTATTGAAAACTCTCGATAGTTGAAATACCTCCCTGTATGAATTATTATGAATCTTCCCGAGTGAAAAAAGTAAATCATTTCAGCTTTTAAGATTAGAGATTAAAAAATTACATTTAAATTCATAGATATTATGGTTTTATAGTATATAGTGAAAAAGTTTTGTTGAGTGGAATAATATGCCATAAATCCTCCAAGAGGTAGGAATTTTGGCTATTATATAATATAATACAACGTGATAAAGGATTAGTAACATTAAATTGTTGTTAAATTTAAGTATAAATTGATTTATCGAGTATTGTGTTATTTAAGAGGCTTTGGAAGTTTGCATTTGGTTGTTTTACTATTTAAGAAATGTTTAAATGACATTTATGATGTATTAGATAGTAGATAATTATAGTGTTAGTATGATTTAAAATATGAGTGAGATGGTAAATTGAATAATTGTATATGGGTATTGAACTTGGTGTATTTGTTTTTGGTTTGTAAGTTTTTATGTGTTTCATATAATTTATTAGAAGAGATAATTGTATTAGGTAGTAAATATCTTTTTATGAACTTCAAATTAACATAATAATACCTAACAGTTATTTACAATAGATTTTTTATGTGGTAAAAAATATTGATGGATTACTATACCTGTTATTAAGGTGTAAAATGATTCATTTAATTTTTAAGAAGTGCTTTTGTTTTTTATAATTTTATTTTTCATATTTTATTAAAAATAATTGATAGAGTAAATATCTTTTTGAATTCAAAAATAATAATAATAAATAAATATAAATTAATTTTTATTTTAAAAAAATGAATACAACCTGTTTTAAAGGTAAAAAATCATTTTAATTTTTTTAAATCTACGCCTTATATTTAATTGTATTGATCTAATGGTGAATAAATACTTCTATATGAATACAAAAAATCTTAATTCTCTATAGAAGTTTCACCCTAATCTTTTATTGGAAATTCATGCGCTGATTTAAATTGCTGAGTTAGAGGCATAGAGCTATTTTTATTGGCTGATGCTAAAACCAGGTTTAATGTTAAGAAAATGATTTTTCCTTATTTAAAAATGATGAGGAAAATATATATTATTTATATTTTGAGTCGAAAAAAGTAAAATATCTCTAGAAACAATGTTCAATGGATTGAGAAAATTATATTTATTTAATGTGAAATAGATTTCATTATTATTTCCTGTAATAGTTTTTTTTTTTTCTTTTCTTTTCCAAACAAATTGTAAGTGTTTAGCTTTCCTCGTTTCTTTTAGCGTTTTCAACATGTTAAGAAGCACAATTTAAATATAATTTTGTCTTGTAATGAACTAGTATGCTGTTACATAATCACAAGATCCTTGATTCTTGGGATTTTATTTTTTTTAAAAGAAAAAACTGAATTCTAGTATCATCATGAATATTGACTAAATTATATATTACAGAGGTCCTATCGACAACAGTTTTTTTTTTTTTTAGCATTAGTATTTGGTGACGTAGCTTTTATACTAGTGTTTAGAGTTTAAGAAGCTGATTATGAAAGTTATTCCCTTTAAAGTTCCGTAAAAAGTAAAAACAGTTGATGGTTACTAAAACATCTAATTTTATATAATATTGTCTAATTTTTATTTTTAACTGTC